AAAAGGGCACTTCTTGTCACTGGAGTGAGCTTATTTGCAAAAAGCTGTATACAGTATAATATTGACTTTGGCTGTAGTTGGGCCTGATGTTATTCATCTGATTATGGACTTTATATTAAATCAGGAAAGGTCTCAGTGCCCCTAGGTCTTCCACTGCACTCTACAGTGACTCTTCAGTCACTGTAACACTGACATCACACTGTGTATGAGTGCCCATCATCCTATGAGTACAGTTTACATTCAGGTCATACTGTCCAAATTGTCGGTACATTTCCCAGGTCTCTTGCACATTGTGCTTATATTGCACATCTCAATCACTTTAACCTTATCAGTTATGCATAGATTATGTACATGTGAACATATTTAATGTATTTTTTATTTTATATTGTTATTGATATATTTTTTACTATTCTCTTATCATGCACAGCTGCTCGGAGTGACCAGGGTCACATTTCACTACATGTTGTATGTGTACAACTGTGTACATGATGAATAAACCTCTTGAATCTTGGATAGTGTGATATTTCTTGTCCACCACCTTAGATTCCTAATCTGCATTCTGATGTTTGTCCCTCAATCACAGGGAGGTTGATGTCACTTAGGATCTTCTATGTCACGCTAAAATCACTAGCCTTTTCACGTAATTTCGTGAGCTGGCTTTTGTGTTGTTCTGTTTCATTTCTGTGTTGAGCACCACCCAGAAATTTGTGTTGTCATGGCACTGATGCGTCTGACTGCTTTCTTGTCACGGTAAGATGATGAGGAGCTGGCGGAAAGCGAGGGGGATGTCTCCCATGTGCCTTTCTCGCTGCCACGGTACAGCGAGGCCGAGATGCTCCATCGCTCTCAGGAGTTCTATGCGCTGATGAACGGCAGGAGGTCGGTGCGCTTCATCAGCCCCGAGCCCGTGCCCAGGGATATCATCGAAAATGTTATCCGTGCTGCAGGTGTGTGCCGGTCCGTCGGTCAGAAGGTACACCAGTCTGAAGATGATCCATGGCACTGCTCATGAGTGACCAATGCCAATCTTTCCCAACAGGTACTGCCCCCAGTGGAGCCCACACAGAACCCTGGACTTTTGTGGTGGTGGCAGATGCTCAGACAAAGAGTGAAATCCGGCGGATTGTGGAGGAAGAGGAGGAGATCAACTACAAACTGAGGATGGGGGAAAAGTGGGTCACTGACCTGAAGAGGCTAAGGTGAGAGGTGTTTCAGATACATGAAGACATTCCTGAGTACTGTGGCTGGTACCGGGGGACATTTCTGGGCACAGTGAAGAAGGTATGGGAGGACATTTCGGGGTACAACAAGGAAAGTGAAGAAGGACATTTCAGAGAACAATGAGGAAAGTGAAGAAGGACATTTCAGGATATAGTGAATAAGATACGGGAGGACATTTCAGGGTACAGTAAATAAGGTACGAAATGACATTTCAGGGTACAGTAAATAAGGTACGAAATGACATTTCAGGGTACAGTAAATAAGGTACGAAATGACATTTCAGGGTACAGTGAGGAAGGTGAAGAAGAACATTTCAGGGCTACAGTGAGGAAGGTAAAAGAAGACATTTCACGGTACAATGAGGAAGGTAGGGGAGAACATTCCAGGGTACAGTGAGGAAGGTACAGGAGAACATTTCAGAGTACAGTGAGGAACATATGGGAGGACATTTCCAAGAGCAGTGGCTCATATCAGAGGCATGTTTCCAGGTATGGTAATTTGCTGATGTTTACTTCTATCTTTAGAGCCCAATTTGTTCTCGTCTATGAGTTATTTTCTTGTAAATGTTGCCAGAATCAGCAGGCTGCGTTTTTTGCCAAGGACAGATGAACATGTGATCAGAAAATGACGAAGATGAGCTTGTGGTTCGCTCTGTTTTCTGTCGACAGGACCAACTGGGTGAAGGAGTACCTGGATACCGCCCCCTACCTCATCCTGATCTTCAAGCAGACGTATGGGATGCACCCTAGCGGGAAGAAGAGGACTCACTACTACAACGAGATCAGCGTCTCCATCTCATGTGGTATCCTTCTGGCTGCACTGCAGGTACAGTATGTGTGTATACATGTGTGTACGTGTGGGTTGGGTGGGTTATGTATGTATTACACTGTGAGACCGAATGTCATACAGTGTGGAAAAAAAACCTGCTATTTTGATCTTTTGGGGACATTTTTTCAGTTCCCACAAGGGGAAACTCAATTTTATAAAAATCTGTGACTGCAATCAAAAAACGAAAAATACTACACGTCTTGTGTTTTGTTTAGTTACTTATGGTTTTGGTCGTCATTGTTGCGATTAGGGTTTTGCCCATAGAAATGAATGGAGAGTCCCCATAAAGATATGAATACAGATGTGTGTGTGTGTGTGTGAGGTATTTTCATAATTCTGACCCCCATGACTAACTGTCACCTTAGCCCCCCCCCCCCCCAATTATATAATTGTGTGATTTTTATATACTCAAGGGCCCCTGTAAAGTGCTTGACCCCCTCGATCTTCTGAGGTATCCATGCCCCTTGTTTGCCCCTGGTCCATGGGCTGAGACCGTTTGCACGCTCAGGCTGTGTGTGCATGTTTCTCTGCGTGTAGAACGCAGGCCTGGTGACAGTGACCACCACCCCGCTGAACTGTGGCCCCCAGCTGCGCCAGCTGCTCCAGAGGCCCCTGAACGAGAAGCTCCTGATGCTGCTTCCCGTGGGCTTCCCCTCCGAGGACGCCACCGTGCCCCAGCTGAGCCGCAAGCCCCTGGATGACATCATGGTGTTCGTGTGACCCGGGCCCAGCGGATGTGACGGCATAACATTCTCTAAGAAAAATCGCAGTCAGTTCAGGGAGCACAGTGGTGACCCTGTGAACTGGCAGCACTCTGCTTTGTGACTCATCACAGACAGTAGCTGTGACAGACATGACCCGTGACAGCAGGGAGGGGGCACCATTAACAGCCTGGCCCAGGAATGGCTAAAAGTACCTCCTGCATTACAATAGGAAGATGATGAAATTCTGCTCTTAAATCCTAGTTTTAGCCCAGTGTGTAAATTGCTTTTTGTGCCTTTGGATATGTGCATCAAAACTTTTTAGGTACCTGTAACTACGGGATAGGCTCCAGAACGCTGCACATGTATGTATGTGTGTATGTATGCTGCCTAGTATAACTTAGAAAAATATAATTTTTTATGCAATGCAACTTTTTAGTGGCGTTTTAATCCAAAGTGATTTACTGGACTAATTCTGGTCAGCAGGACTACTGCAGAGCTGAGATCATGAACTGGTAACCTTCTGGTTGCAATTCAGACTGCTTTACTTTCTCATGATCAGAATCAGAATCAGCTTTATTGTCATTCAAACCACTTAACAGTTTCTCAGGTCTCGGTGTGCACAGCGTGGCTACTAAACAGTAAACAGATAAAATAATAATAAAATACTACAATAAAATATCTAAACTAGGTATAAAACAAAATAAACCAAGATAAAACCTCCGAAATAAAAAGTAATGCACAATACTGCACAATTGTATGGCAGAAGAGCAGCGACTTAAAGTGATCAGTGCAAGTTGCAAAAATAACAGCAGCAAACAAACATCAGCAGCAACATTTCACTGTGACATGTTGCAGCATCAAGGAATGTTATTACAGTGCAAAATGTTCAGTATTTGGGTGGTGGAGCAGTTTAACAGTCTGACTGAGGTTGGATAGAAGCTGTTTTTCAGTCTGGATGTTTTTTGCTCGGATGCAGCGCAGCCTCCTTCCCGGCAGCAGGGGGGTGAACAGGTCATGTGCAGGGTGGGTTCATGGGGTCATGAAGGATGCAGGTGGCTTTTCCCCTGCATCTAGTGGTGTATACATGCCCGATGGGTGGGAAGCTGCACCCGATGGTCCTCTGGGCAGATTTTTTATCACCCTCTGTAATGCACCTGGACTTAAAAATACTTCTTTTTGTGTTTTTAATACCATCCTTTTCTGTGATGCAGTGAGGAAGTAAATATTATAACCTGCCTTTCTGTGTTCCAGGTGAAGTGAGGCTTGATATTTATGACGATGATTCTAAACCCAGGACGAGACATAAGAACATAAGAAATGTACAAATGAGAGGAGGCCATTCGGCCCATCAAGCTCGTTTGGGGAGAACTTAACTAATAGCTCAGAGTTGTTAAAATCTTATCTAGCTCTAATTTAAAAGAACCCAAGGTTTTAGCTTCCACTACACTAGCAGGAAGACTATTCCATACTCTAACTACACGCTGAGTAAAGAAGTGCTTCCTCAAATTCATTTTAAAATGTTCTCCTGCTAATTTCCACTTATGGCCACGAGTTCTAGTATTTAAACTAATATTGAAGTAGCCATTGTTGAATAGGACAGTGTACCTCACAGGATCTGTTCATATCAGAGTATAATCTGCTTCCACTTCACCTTCTTTCTTGCCCTGAAGGACAAGCATTTGGTGATGATGGTTGTTACCCACCCAGTTGTTAGCTGTAAACCACTTCAAGGAATGTGTTTGTTTGAAATGAGAATTGCTTTTATGGGTGGACAGAAGCTAGGAGCATATCTACATGCGACGGATTTTTACGTCTTAAGCAGCCATCACTCTTGACTGTAGCGTGATCCTTGTTGCTAAGTGGCCTTACCTTCTTGGTGACAGCACCTCTTGAACATCATCTGCACCCCAGCCTCTGCAACGTCACGCGTAGAAATTTTGCGCAGCGTTGCTCCAATAGGTGTATTTCCGCCTCTGTGCACTAGATGGCAGTAATGTGCAGGAATGTTGTGACCACTGGGACTGCTTGACTTAAATATCTTGTTTCAGAAGAGGCTTATCAAGACTGTTTCATAGATTTTAGCGTCCTGCAATAAATGTGTTTCCCATTAGATACACTTCTGTTGATTGGCACAGTGGCCCAGTTGATAGCAGTGTGACTGCATGCATCCAGGGCTGTGGATCCGATTTATGCACCTAGTTCTGGTTCAGTCCTTGCTCTGTTCTGTCAGGCTGGTTCTGCTTTTCCACTGACCTCTCCTCTTATCCTGCAGTGACTCAGTGTCTACACATCATCATTGTTTACCTACTTAACAAGGCCCCTATGGGTCCTATAATGTGGACTGAATGCTTCCAGTCATTTTAGATTCCCATGCATTTTACTTTCACTTTCGCTTGTCATTATCGTGGAATAATTATACGTGTGTGATTTTTTGAAAAACTGAAGTATTGTCTACATTTTAATGCAGCTGAGAAATTGTCCTAGTTTAAAAAAAAAAATAAATAAAAAAATTGGAAAAGGAAATAGAAAACATCATTAACTTTATGTCCCGTAGTTAATTTGGCATACGGGGTACTTAGGTTTCTCCCTTGTTCTAACATGCTCTATCTTGCAGTCTGGTTCCAATGGATACTTTCATTACACCAAAAAGTTCTGGCTTCCATTGTGACTTAGATTTGGGCTTGAAAGGTGTTATAAATCACTTGTGTTGACATTATGATGAATGTGCTGATGGTTGTGATGGTGAGATCAATACACGGTGTTCAATCCCTACATCATTTGACAATGAAATATGAGATATGGGTGTTGCATTTGAATTTTGAAATATTGTGTAGATATGGCACCTTCACATGTGTGTGTACACAGTCAAGTCAATTTCCTTATGCAAATCCATATATTTTATCATGCTTCCAAGTGCTTATCTCACATAGGGTTACAGGGAGACCTGGAACTTACGCCAGACAGCCTAGGGCACGAGGTAGGGGAGCGTCCTGGATACGTCCATCACAGGGGACCCTCACCCTCATGCACGCAATGACAGCTATTCAGCGATACCAGGTCACCTGACTTCATGTTTTTGGTCAAAAATATCCAGAGAAAACCCACATCACATGGGGGAAACATGCAAACTTCATGCATACTGAGTGGTGCAGCCCTGCAGGTATGTGCTACTGTCCCACCATTTTAAATTTTAAAAATATTTTCTGTCTTCCACTAGAGGGCAACATTTACATAAATCGCTTCAGACCAAGTACTGCACACATTGTGTGACAAATAGATGCCTGGAGGTATTATTAGAAACATTTGATTGAAAAGTTAACAAAAGCATAAAACACTTTCTTCTGCCTACACATCTTTTTAGTGTCGCCTTTGAACTATTGAAACAAGTTTAACAAGTTAAAAACCACTAAATGGAAAATAATGGCAGATACTATGTGTAAATGGACCATTATGTTTTTGAATGTTTAACACAGCTGGGGAGGGCTGGGAGAGGAGCTTGTGTGACAGAAGCTATCAAACACTGAAACAAGTCACTTTGTCTGTATTGCATGTAAATGTATAGTAGCACCAACATGCACACAGATACATTCATTCAATGAAAACCAGATAAAACCTTGTTTTACAGTAAATATGCAATGGAGCTGTCAGCAGTAAATCAGCCATGTCTCACTGCCAGAAGCATCACATGACAGCTGTCAACCTTCACCGTCGTATGAGGAATATTAGGTAGGGTGGCTATTGACTGGTGGTGATTGGTGTGGACCAGCATGTACTAATTAACAGGGGATGATTGGTATAGACTAGTGTGATTCAACCAAAGGTTCTGAGTATCATTGTGGTGTGCTATGGACTACCTAAAAGTGGTAATGATTGGTATGGGCTGGTATGGATTAGCTGAGAATTGAAGCAGTAAGCGCTGACTGTGATGAATTAGTCAATAATTCTGGGGATACATGTAGACTGGTTCGGGTCAGCCGGGAGCGGCAGCGATCATTTATTTGATCCGTGCTGCGGGTAATCCCACACAGATGCATACCATCTGGTTCTGCGATGCACACCCTGAGCCGTTACCAAGGTGATAGTGGACACACCCTGCCATTTTGGTGTTGGCATGGTGACACGCTCCCACGCCCTAAGCCCACATGCTCCAGCACAGCCTTGGGGACGGAGTACTCCGATGCAGAGTGGGGGTGTACCCATATGCTGTGCTGTAATTCCTGGGGTGGAGGGCAAAACTGATAGGGAAGAGTGTGGGGGTACATGGAGGGGGGGGGATTATCTGACCCATGGCGGAATTCAGGAAATCAAGCCATGCATGAACAAGAGAGAAGAAAGGGGACATTGTTGTGGTGTGCATGAATGACTCTCGGGTCACAGAATGGAATCACTCCAGAGACTTCAGGAGAAAATGAGTTCGATGCACAGTCTAATAACACCTGCTGCTGGGTGAGTGAGTGAGTGAGTGAGTGAGTGCTTCTCATGACATCACAGCTTGTTCTTTGCACAATAACCCCCTTGATAAAATATGTGTCCTTAGGTCATTCATGTTTTCTAGCAGCCTGTGTAAAGCTTCATTGTTGACCCGACAGATGACACTGAGACGACTGGTAGACTAGATCTCAACTTTGCTTGAGTTGCGGCGAATGTAATTAGCACTTCTGATTCCAATACTGCCGAACGCCACAGCCATCGCTACCCCGGGCACTGTTGTGGTGATTATGAACTCCTCCTCTTCCCAGTTGCCATCCAGTGTCTATTGAGTTTGCGTATTGACAGATAATTTGCATGGTGGATGCAGACTCTTTCATATGTTGCCAGGGATTTTTTGGTAGTGATGGCGTTCGGGTACATTTGAGTGTGATATGATAAGATGGGTTCCTTGTGAAGGCTGATTTTACAGTGGGGGAGCAGAGTGCATGAGATCGGGTTTCAGTAAAATATGTGCAACCCAACTCCACTTTCAGCAATCCTGCGCTTGGGCTGGAGGACCTTTAAACACCCCTAGATTCCTTCAGGCCTCTTAAATCCGAATCGCTTTATTTGGGCTTGTAATTCCATACATTGTGTTGCTTCATCAATAGAAAGTCACTCTATGTTACCTAAACCAGTGTTTCTTACACCGATCCTCGGGAACCCCCCAGACAGTCCACGTTTCTGCTCCTTCTCAGCTCCTGGAATGGGGTAAAAATATGGACTGTCTGGCAGGAAGCTGGGAGGGGGTCCCTGAGCACCATGTGGAGGAAGACTGACCTAAACAACAGCATCACCTAAAAAGATACCTGTTGTTCTGTTTGGTCCTACTATTCTTAATGCATCTTGAATGCTTTCTACTGACAAATTTTACCAGGAAATTGACACCAAAGTAAAGACATATTGTAGCCAAAATGTTTATTGTTGGGAGGAATCCACTGTATCCTGGAACTGATCC